GTTTATATGACATGAAACTCCAGTGGGTCACTATAAGTCGGTTTTCTTGGCAAGATTTGTTCAGAGGAGGGGGTTGATTTTGCCTTCCTAAGAGGCTGAGAAAGAGTGACTTGCTGAAGGTCACCCAGTGGGTTTCTATGGCTGAGTGGGGATTTGAACCCTGGTCTCCAGAGTCATAGTCCAATGCTTTACCACTATACCATACTGGCTCTCACATTTTGTTGGACTCCACTCATAATGTTCCAGATTCTGCCCTGACTCCAACAATGACCTGCCAGTTTCCTTCAACCTTTTTCTCAACTCCCCTTTGCTCCTGGTCTTGCCTAGAGCTACAGTCATTCTGTAACAAGTTGAGAGAAATCCAGCTGTGGATTGAGGGTGGGGGGGGAGTGCTATGTTTTCAGCACAGCTTTGCAGGAGGGCTGCTGCTGTAGCTGTAGGGAAAATACTGAGCAGCTATGTGATCAAAGCTTGATCACAGTAGGTGGGTGCAGAAGGGCAACACAGCCCCAGGGTGCCACAAGGCTGAGGTCCCCAAATCTCCTTGTAAGTGAGCAAGTGAGATTGTGCACATCTAGCCGTTCACCTATGAACTTTAGAGTGAAGCTTTACATGAGGTAGGGAAACTGGCACCCTCCAGATGTTGTTGGGCTACAACTCCCATAACCCTAGACCGTTGACCATTTGTTGTTGTTACCTGCCATCAAACTGACTTCAGCTTATGGCAACCCTATGAATGAGAGTCCTCCAAATCCCCCTGTCTTCGATTGCCCTGCTCAGGTCATGCAGATTCAGATTCCTGGTCTCCTTGGTTGAGTCTATCCATTTGGAATATGGTCTTTCTCTCTTCCTACTGCCTTCTACCTTACCAAGCATTATTGTCTTTTCTAGGAAGTCATGTCTTCTCATGATATGGCCAAAGTACGACAGCCCCAGTTTAATCATCATGGCTTCTAGGGAGAACTCAATCTTGATTTGCTCTAAAACCAATTTATTCATCTTTTTAACAGTCCACAATATCCACAAAAGTCTTCTCCAGCACCACATCTCAAAGGAGTTGATTCTCTCTCTATCTGCCTTCTTCACTATCCAGCTTTTACATCCATACATAGAATGAGAAATACAATGGCACATACAATCCTAACTTTAGTATTCAATTAAATACCTGTACACATCAGGATCTTGTCTTATTCTTTCATAAGCCGCCCTTCCAAGTTGTACTTTTCTGATTTCTTGACTTCAGTTCCCATTCTGATCAAGATTAAGTCAAGGTATAGACAATCTTGAAGTATTTCACTATCTTCATTGTCTACTTTAAAGTTAGGTAGGTCATCTGTGATCATTATTTGGCCACTAGGCTGAGCTTTATTGGAGTTGTAATCCAAAATATGGGGGGAGCATTAGGTTGTCTACAGCAGGATGTAGGAGTGACTTTCCAAATGTTGTTGAAATGTAGTCCTCTCAGCCCTTAGAAGCATAGCTGAGTGATAAGTAATGATGGGAGTTGCAGTCCAACAAAATTAGGAGGGCCTTATACACCCTATCCCTGGCCTACAGAATCAGATGAGAACCTTGTTCTCAAAATCCCCAGTGAGTGAGCTGGATTCCTGCCCCTGTTTCAGAGTTGAGGATGGGAGGGAAGAATGTTGCATTCAACCCCCACTGAAATACTACATGCTAAACTGTATCATGGCTGTGTTAGGCTGCTAATTCATGTGCTTAATCTACTGGGTGACCTTTGGCAAGTCACATACTTTCAGCCTCAGGGGAACACAATGGCAAACCTCTTCTGAACAAGTCTTGCACATAAGACCTCATGATCATCTCTCCTTCTGTAAGTTGAAAACACCTTGAAGGCACACAGCAACAACAACTCTAATAAAGTGCTTCCCCCCTCAAAAGTCCATTAACATCACACCTCTCCCTTGCGTCTTTTGCCTACTGATGTGTCTATCCCCCTACTCTATACCACTTTGGGATGGCACTTTTGGGGAGCTGGAGAGACAGATTGGGTTTAGGGGACCACCAATCCTCAATATATGGCAAGTGAATGGACGTTATCACACGGGGAGTCGCGGGGAGAAAGTGGAAATAAACGGGCATGAGCGGAAGTCTTTAATTTACGGGATTTGTCCCGTTCTGCCTCATCTGATAACTAAATTTGAATTTAAAAGGGGGTTAATTCGAACGCAAACCTGATCTTTTCATTTTTGGGATTTTTGAGGATTTGAAAAGATCAGGTTTTTGTTCAAATTAACCCCCCTTTTAAATTCAAATTTAGTTATCAGACGAGGCAGAACGGGACAAATCCCATAAATTAAAGTCTTCTGCTCATCCGGTTTATTTCCACTTTCTCCCCGCAACTCCCCGTGTGATAACGTCCTATGTCTCTCTCCAAGGCAGGATCCTTGGTGATGAAACTGAAGGACCCAGTCTCCCCCTTTCCACACCCACCCCATCCACCTACTGCATCCTGAGAGTCTTCCTGGCATATGGTTCTTCTAGCTGCCCCTTTTCAGTCATTTAGATTTCTTCTCAGAGTTGCTGTTGCATTAACATTTGCCTTTAGGCACCTAAGAGTTCAAATCAGTGGGCAACATAAGGCCTGCCTTTTATTTATTTATTTTCCTACCTCAAATTCTTTCTCTTATACACTCTCTCTCTCTCTCTCTCTTCAAGAGACATCTTGCAAAAAACAATGTTGGCAATGGGAAATCGGATCCCTGTGTGTGCGTGTGAGAGAGGGAGAAGATTGTGTACTTAATATTATCAGGTAAATAATGCTGGGTAGTATCTGAGGTTGGGGAGGATGTGTAAGACAAATAATTGTGGACTGAAATGCATTCTCCTTTCCATCATGACTCACAATTCTTGTGCACAGTTCAAAAGGGGGGCGGGGGCATGTCAGATGAATGAGTTGTACATACTGATTGTATCAGCTTGGGTCCCTTTGGACTCAGAAGGAACATGCATCTTCTCAGAAGTCCTGTGCAAGCCACTCACCAGTGCCGCTTTCATATTACCGTATATCACACACACACCATTTGGTTGAAGAACCGGAAATTTCAGGGTCAAAGTGTGTGTTGCATGGGCAGACAAGCATTATACAGGACAGTTCCCTTTTGAGACAAGAATTCTGGAGCCTGAATAGCATTTTCAGAACATTGATTGATTTACAAGCATAAAAGCTCCCCATAAGGAGGCAGGCAGGTATAGAGTGCTACCCTTTAAAGTGCTATCTGTTTTCCCAAATAATTCCTTGGGAGTAATGGTTCCTTCTGGCCAGCCGGCTGCAAACCCAACCACCCTTTTAGATGTCTGTTTTTTTGCAATCTGCATTCCAGCTGTGCAGATGGTTCTCCCAGCACCCACTCAAAGCAGGTGAGATATAGGCACTAACTAGTAGCCACCAGCAACCAATGCTAATTAAACATGCTCTTTCACTAAGGGTGCATCTGCACTGCAGAAATAATCAGGTTGACACCGCTTTAACTGCCATGGAATTCAGGGAATTGTCCTTTATTGGGACACCACAGCTCTCTGACAGAGAAAGCTAAATGTCTCACAAAACTACAAATCCCAGGATTCCATAGCATTGAACCATGGCAGTTAAAGTGTGTCTACCTGGATTATTCCTGCAGTGCAGATGCAGCCTAAGGCCTCATTCCCACTACGTTATAAACTGGTTTGTTAACCAATTTGAAGTGGTTTAAGTGACCCTTGTTTACACTTGAGCTGAATCGATGAAGCGGTTTGGCAAGGGGGGCTCTGTGCTAGACCCATTTAATGTATGTCTTTTTGACGCTCATTTTTCCGCATCTTTTGCAATAAATCAATTCACCACAGGTATGAACAAAATGCGGATCAGAATCAATTTCCTATGATTCAAAATGGACCCTCTTCAGCAGGTCACTGATTGCTGACAAGTGGGTTATTTTACAACAAGAAAATGTGATCGGGACAAATGTAGTGTGAACCATGCTCCGCGGTCGAACTGATCCATCGATTTGGATCACAAACTGATTTATTTGTAAGTGGGAATGAGGCCTTGAGTGAATTATGCAAAAATCTGGTGGAGGAATCAGGTTTTGCATACCCAAACTAACAACTTCATTCTTTGCCACAATTTCTTTTGCTTATCATTTGTGAAGTGAAACAAATTTCTGAGTAACTTTTTCAAATAAATAAATAAATAAGGTTCCTAGGGGAGGAAGACAACACAAGAGACCAAAGAACCATTCTTCCTCAATCTGTTGATTAGGCAAAATGTCACTTTTCTGCAGGGTTTCCCACATTGCTTCTGTTGTAAGAAAATCATATCTCCTCAGCCCTAACAGGTTTTCTTTTGGGTTGGAAAAATATTTTCCCCCTCCAGGCAACCAGCCTTGTTGTGATTGTCACAGGGACTGTGGTTGTGCATGTGCTGGGAACAACTATTGCTGGCTAGAGGGCAATGAGAATTTTAGTCCAGTGCATCTTGGAATGGGTCAGTTGGGGAAAGCCAAATGAATACATTTAGGCTGCAGTCCTATGGTGCTGGGAGGGTGCACCAGTGGCTTTTCAAAGGCATAGAGAGAGGTCTGCAGAATTCCCAGGAATCAGACCAGGGAAACCCAGAAGTCGAACGAAAAGTCAGCAGTTTATTTTAGCTGCAGCAAATCTCCAGAGGAATATAATTTCCAAATTCTGGAGCCCTGAGGTTCAGGTGAACTACCTTTTTATAGTATTTTGAACAAAGAAACTACAAGTCACATTATGATTGGTTACATTAAAAAATAACATTTCTTAGCCCTCGTGGTACTTATTATTGACAGTTCTTATCTTTGTATGTTTTCAATCACTGTCTCCATATGTTTCTGCACAACATTGTTGTTCTGGGTAACAGTCCATACCAGGACACTAAGAGGCCCTGGATTCAAGGCTTGCATTCTGTGAGGCCACTTTGACTTGGTTTGGTATCTATCAATCAGGCAGTGTTTGCTCTAATACATTTCAACTACTTTCCTACTAATAAACTTCTAAATATTTTTTTATATTTAGGCTTCTCCATCATGCCTTTGCAGGAAACTGCTAGCTTTTTCCTTGTAAGCTCTCTCCTTGAAGGTATAAAAAGATCTTCATCCAATGGTCCTCTGGCTTCAGAAACAGGGAAGGGCCAAGAAGATCAAATTGAGGCTGTTGTACTTTGGCCACATCATGAGAAGGCAGG